TAGCCAAAGGATCTCCCAGAGCCCCACAGGCCACGGTAGCCCAGGGAGCTGCCATAGCCCAGGGAGGAGCCCCCACAGCCCCACAGACCCCCAGAGCTCAGGGATCCATAACCCCCATATCCACAGAGACCCCCATAAAGCCCAGAGCCATAGAGACCCCCATAAACCCCAGAGCCGTATCCCCCATATCCCAGGGATCCGTATCCCCCATATCCCAGGGATCCGTATCCCCCATATCCCAGGGATCCGTAGCCCCCATATCCCAGGGATCCATATCCCCCATATCCCAGAGAAGCCCCCGAGGCTCCCAGGACGGGCGCTCCAGCAGATCCCACCACGGAATCCTGCGGGAAGGAGCTGAGGATGGGGCCGGGGAAGGTGACCACSRCAGGGGGAGGCTGGATCACGGTGGTGGAGTCGGGGCACTGCCGGACACACGGCTCGTTCCCGCTGTCGGCCAGGGGCTGGGGACGGAGGACGCCGCAGGCGGAGGTGGAGCACAGGTCGTAGCAGGACATTTTGCAGGGGTGGAGGTTAATCTGGAARAGATGTTCATTTATATTGATTTTAAAGGGGTACCCAACTTTAGGCTGTGCTGAAAGCCAGCAATAATTCTGGGAAGTAAACAGATTTCCCATTCCTATTTTTTCTGTCACTGCAATCTCCAGGCTACTCTTGACTTCATCAAATAAAGTCTKGGCTCCTCGGTTGTATCTTTACCTTTCCAGATCAGATAATTTCTTTTGTATTACATTACTCTCAGCTGATGATTTCTACTTTGATTGGATCTTTCTTGTTATGAACTCAGCAAAACTCTACCGAACATAGCCACATATCCAGGTTGTTCTTCATCTACTGAAATACAGCCATGGAATTCTTTGGAGTGCAAAAACAAAAATAAAAAATAAAAGTTTGGGGTTCTAAACCAGTTGACGAACCCCTCTCCTACAAAACTTAGAGATAAATGAGAAATCAAACATCAAATATCCTACAGAGCAGTGGCAGCCTGACCRTGACCCGAGGGGGATCAGTTAAAATCCAGAATTCTTGACAGAAAGTTAAGTTTAGAGAAGTTTGAGAGAAAAATCACTTACCCGGTTCACGAAGGCAGAACAGGTGAGAGGAGTGGATGGAAGCACCTGATGGGGACGCCTTTTATAGAGCTCCCTGCTCGCCCGGAGGGCACCGGGCACCTGATGTGCCAGTTCGTAATTAGGTGCCAACCCCAAATTGCAAGGCTTGTAATTCTTCCATGAGCTGGAATGGTTTTTGCTGATTGCTGGTGCCCTTCTTCAAACCCACACAGAGCGTGAGCTCKGCATTCCTGCCCAAAAGCCCTCTTTTGTCTCCAGGTTTTAAGTGGGGAGAATTATTTTTTATGATCCCATTGCATTACTTGATGTTAGGGGAGGAAACAATCTGGCTTAATTTATTTATGAGTCCTCGGTAATTAGGATGATTGAGGGACACTCATTCTTTTGTCCCGGTAAAGGTCCCTTGGTGTGATCAACAGGAGCTGGAGCCAATGGAATTTGTTTTGGGATCTCCAACGAGGACTGGGGACAAATTACAAAGGGAAAAACATSGGTTCTGCAGGCTCAGCACCTCTCCCTCCACCTACTCTGGGCAAGGCAAACACAACAATCAGGAGCATCTTTGAGTCATAAAATGTCATTTTATGTCATAAAATCAAATCAAGGGATGTTTGGGTTGGTAATAACCTTGAAGATCATCCAGGGCCACCCCTGCCGTGAGCAGGGACACGTTCCACAGACCAGCCTGGCCTTGGACACTTCCAGGGATGGGGAATCCATGGAATAACCTGTGCTGGGGCCTCCCCACCCTCACAGGGAACAATTCCTTCCCAAAATCCCAACTAAATCTCCTCTCTGCCAGTTTTAATCCATTCCCATTTTCCCGCCATCTCAGCCCTTGGAAAATGTCTCTCCCCATTTCCTTGTTAAATTCATCTCCCTCCTGGCTCTCTTTCAGTGCAGAAATATTTCACCTGGCAGCCAAAGTTCCATGGAAATT